ATATATATATAGATATATATACACACATGATATTGCCAGAAGTATTGGGAAACCCCTCCCAATGATTGGATTCAGGTGTTCCAATCACCTCCATGGCGTCAGGTGTATAAAATCACGCACCTCGGCATGCAGATGCTTCTACAAACATTTGTGAAGGATGGGTCCCTCTCAGGAGCTCAGTGAATACAAGTGTGGTACCGTGTTAGGTCGCCACTTCAGCACACCAAGACATTTTGGACAATTTCAAGGTCCATAAAGACATGGATGGGGGAGTTTGGGGTGGAGAAACTTGACTGGCCTCCACAGAGTCCTGACCTCAACCCGATAGAACACCTTTGGGATGAATTAGAGCGGAGACGGTGAGCCCGGCCTTCTCCCCCAACATCAGTACCTGACCTCACAAATGGTCCAACATTCCCATAGACACACTCCTAAACCTTGTGGACGCTTTCCCAGAAGAGTTGAAGCTGTTATAGCGGCAAAGGGCAGGCCAACTCAATATTGAACCCTACGGACTAAGACAGGCACACAGGGCCTTAGGCCAACTGCAATCAAAACACTTACAGGCTGGCACATTGACCATTGACAAGCACACACTTCATCAATGAACACAGACCTGCAGACACAGACTGACAGATATAAACAAAGACCTAAGTGTTTATCTGAATGATGACAAGTCCAATGCCTACTGTTGGCTTTTAGACTGTATTCACCTCCTGCTCATGTGCTGAATATGGTTTTTACAGAAAGGCATTAAAGGTGACTCTCCTGTGACATACCTGAGGTCGGAGTTCAACAACGTCCTCTTGGGTGACTCCCCAAAACTGGAAGCCACCCCAAGCCAACCGACTGAGTACAACTTCACCACAAGCTTTGACCTTGGCAGTGAGAGCCCGCACAACCTGGATGATGTGGCCCACAAACCTGTTATAGGTAAGTCACCCGGCTTGTACGTGTCGTGTATTTTGCCTGTAAAGAGTTCAGGGGTGGACAGTTCTTTTTATTCCGGTATCGGGAACTCTACAGGGTAAACTACATGGGTGAATTTAGAGCTGACCTGCCATTAGTGAAGAATGTATGTAATCATTACTGACCCTTCTGAAAATGTTAATTGCTTGGCTGTCTTGCTTATATAATGGACATGAAGTTGAACCAGGAAGAGCGCCAAACACACATACCGAAATCCAAAAATATATTTTATTAATCCACAGATGTCACAAAGGTAATTGGAGAACTGCCAATGTGTTTCAGGGTACAATCCCTCTTCATCAGGACTTTGACAACTGCCATAGGTTATCTCAGACTCTAAAATAGGAGCCTCCAGATGCTGCATGGGTTTTTAACAGAGATATTCTCCAATCACATGTCAATCTCCTGGCTCTGATTGCTTGTTCCAGGCTTCTTTTTTGGAGTCCAGTATTATTTGACAACTGCTAAAAGCTCTGATGAAGTGGGATTGTTTGGCCAGAACCTAACATGGATCCATACAGACACAGATGTCACAAAAATGGCATCCATTCTGCACTGCTTCAATAGGCACCCAAATATTGCTTCTCTAGAATATTTGGGTGCCTATTTCTCAGGCAGGAGTGGAAATCCTTCATGTGAAAAAGATCTTTACCATCTTTATTTGTACAAGTGAAGATCTTTTTCACACCAAGGATTTCCACTCTTGCCTGAGAAATAGGCACCCAAATATTGCTTCTAGAGAAAGGTCTTGGTCCAGCCCCTCATCCCCACTCACCCTTCGGATAACCTGCTGATCAGGCATTGGCTGAATGTCCAGCAGTCTGCTTAAACACTTCCTTGATTAGGACAGGTGTGCACAGTAGCGATCTGAGCTGCAGCGCTGACTAACAACCACCAGGGGATGGAGAGCCAATGCTGATTGTAACATGATTCTTTCTGATTGGCAATACTCGCCCCCTCTACGTGTAGTCACCGTCATTGAGATCCTACCCAAGGAGAAGAAGCAAAAGGAGGAGAAGACAGCGGTTCTGGGACAGGCGGCTGTGGATCTGCTTCCTCTACTAAAAGGTGGGGAGACTTACAGTGCTGTGAGACACTGTTGTCCATAGCAATCTTTCTACTCCTTCTTTTCATGATGGATGGGGGAAAGGGATAGGAGGAAAAGGTGGGGGGCAATAGAGAGAGGAGGGTCCAGAGAAAAAAGGGGAGTGACAAAGAAAAAGGGCAGGAAGAAAGTAAGAGAGAGGAAGTGAGAAAGTTAGAGCGATGGGGAAGAAAAAATGGAGAAGGGAAGGGAAGAAGAAAGATGGAGGGAGAGGAAAAGAGTGATAAAGTGAGGATGAGGAAGAGAGGAGGAAGGGGGGGGGGGGGCAGAGAGATAGAGAGATACAGACCACATGGCATTGTGGACTTACAGAAATAACTCGATTCACGAACACTTCGGTTCGCAAACAGGAAGTTTGGCAAAATCTTGCTTTCTTTAGCAAACTCCAAATCGGGTGACGAACGCGGCCATCTTCCCCGCTCTGACACGTGGTCTGATCACGGTCCCAGACAGACCTGTGCACCCTTGCCCTCCTTATGGGGAAATGTGATTCGGTTCGTGACCAATTCGGTTCGCAACTAGAATCGTGGAACAAATTAAGTTCGTGAACTGAGGTACCACTGTATTAATCTCCTACATGGACTCAACCCCTATCCCCCATATATTATCCCTTAACATGATAGCATTCATGGACTCGCCTCCTATTTCTTTACCCTGATAATGTCCTAGAACTTATTTCCACCCCCCACCCCCTCCTTTTGAAAATCCATATAAACTTTTCAATTGCTTTGACAATGCTAAAATGTATTTGGTCCTGCCAATAAAGCTTATTTGAACTTGAATATAGGGGAAAGGATAGGAAATGGGCAGAAGGCTGGAGTTCCGCTTTAGACTTTATATACGCAGGAAGAGAGGAGCGAGAGAGAAATATAAAAGAGACAAAGAGATACATTCATAACATTCTATACTGTCAGTCTTGATTATATGAACCCATTTTATTTCAGGTGAATGTAATTTTAAGGTACTGGTGCCATTGTATCCAGCAACTGGCTCTCCGCTGGAAAACATTCACCCTGATGCCAAGGTATTTCTACCATAATAAAGGTTCATCTGGTTTACTTTGTGTTCATTTGAAAAAGGGGGGAAGAGGAAGAGGGGGGGAAGGGGGGGGGGGTGGAAGAGAGATAGAGAGATACAGACCACATGGCATTGTGGACTTACAGTAATAACTCGATTCACGAACACTTCGGTTCGCAAACAGGAAGTTTGGCAAAATCTTGCTTTCTTTAGCAAACTCCAAATCGGGTGACGAACGCGGCCATCTTCCCCGCTCTGACACGTGGTCTGATCACGGTCCCAGACAGACCTGTGCACCCTTGCCCTCCTTATGGGGAAATGTGATTCGGTTCGTGACCAATTCGGTTCGCAACTAGAATCGTGGAACAAATTAAGTTCGTGAACTGAGGTACCACTGTATTAATCTCCTACATGGACTCAACCCCTATCCCCCATATATTATCCCTTAACATGATAGCATTCATGGACTCGCCTCCTATTTCTTTACCCTGATAATGTCCTAGAACTTATTTCCACCCCCCACCCCCTCCTTTTGAAAATCCATATAAACTTTTCAATTGCTTTGACAATGCTAAAATGTATTTGGTCCTGCCAATAAAGCTTATTTGAACTTGAATATAGGGGAAAGGATAGGAAATGGGCAGAAGGCTGGAGTTCCGCTTTAGACTTTATATACGCAGGAAGAGAGGAGCGAGAGAGAAATATAAAAGAGACAAAGAGATACATTCATAACATTCTATACTGTCAGTCTTGATTATATGAACCCATTTTATTTCAGGTGAATGTAATTTTAAGGTACTGGTGCCATTGTATCCAGCAACTGGCTCTCCGCTGGAAAACATTCACCCTGATGCCAAGGTATTTCTACCATAATAAAGGTTCATCTGGTTTACTTTGTGTTCATTGAATTGTTTTTTTAAAGCTGAACTTCAGGGACAAAACCCTTTATTTAAATGTATTCCTCAATAGCCACAAGTATATAAGTGCACATTGTGGGCACAAAATGCCTTGTATAGATAGCATTGTGTGGTTTTGGTAAGATTGTCGGCTGCAATGTGCCATCTAGAGGCATCTGTAGTATCTGGGCATACTAGACTGTTGGATTACATTTTACTCAGTTTTCTCAGTTGAGTGTTTACTCAAATTTACAGAAAACCTGCTATGGGAAATATATGTAGGATGTTGTAGTTTACCTGAACGGAAAGAAAGGAAGGGAAGGAGCGCAACTAACTGGCGCAGACTTTGTGGAGGGGGATTGACCAGGGAACAACAGTGAATCGAGGTAAAAGTGGGTGGGAATGAAAAATGGGCACTCACTTGTGATAAGATGTATAGGCACACAGGTGATGATCTCCTTGTGATGTTGTGAGGTCTGGTCGGGGTGACAGGTGGGTGTTCAGAAGTGGATCCTTGCGGAGGGGGGGGGTTTATGATTTTATGATGACGCGTCCAAGACGGCCTGGAGGAAAGAAAAAATAGAAGGTGGTCAGAATCCAAGTAAACATATGAAAGAGAAGTACTGTACTCCCCTCCACAAGGATCCACTTCTGCCCACTGAACACCCACCTGTCACCCGGACTAGACCTCATGACATCACCAGGAGATCATCACCTGTCTGCCCATCCATCTCATCACACGTGAATGCCCATTTTTCATTCCTAACCACTTTTTCATCGATTCACTGTTATTCCCTGGTCAATCCCCCTCCACAAAGTCTGCGCCAGTTAGTTGCACTCCTTCCCTTCCTTTCTTTCCGTTCAGTATCACATAGTTAGACAACCCGGTCTAATAACACAAGGAGCTGCACAACGTCCACAACACACCACACTCCCCCTAGGAGTGTGCTAACCAATCAGTCTTCATTCTCCAACTTTCCTGTTGTAGTTGACCCTTGCTTTTGAAAATACTAGTTGCTAAGCTGTCACGCCGATCCTTTGGATTTCTTGCATTTTGTCCTAGAAGAAGTATGGAAACTTTGAAATGTCATTCTTGTTCTGGGACAGTGACTATTAAGTACTAAAGCAACATCCAGGCAGCTAGCATTTTCAGAGAGAGGTTAGCAATGGCATCCTGTATATGCTTTTATGACAGGTGTACTTTAAACTGGATTCAAATTTCCCCCCTTCTTTGTGGTGCTTGGTGATTCCACCTAGGGTAATAGGAGAGCTAAGTTCAATCCTCATTTTTAATGTGAACACTCTGAAGGGGAATTTATCAAAGCTGGAGCAAACAAAATCTGGAGCAGCTGTGCATGGCAGCCAATCAGCTTCTCTCTTTCATTTTCAAATCTTAACTGAACAAACTGAAGAGAGAAGCTTATTGGTTGCCATGCACAGCTGCTCCAGATTTTGTCTGCTCCCGTTTTGATAAATTCCCCCCCATTGTTTTTTGTTTAGCCTGAAGTGGCACTTTCTGGCCTAAAACCTTTCCTCAGTGAGTCAAGGATTATTAATGGAAGTCTGGCCTGAGTGACCTTGGAAGCTGCCAATGGGAGCTCAATGATTCCACCCAGGGTAATAGGGGAGCTGAGTTCAGTTCTCTCTTTATGGCTGAATCAAACTTTATTAAACAAAAATGAGAGTACAGTAGAAGCAGTAATGTGTCGTGACTTATGCATGATGAATACAGTGTAACATGAGAAAACATTAATTAAAAGGGGTAGAGAAAATGCTAAGGGACATACTGTATATAACAAGTATGCAAGCTACCATCAGAGTAAAGCTCTGATTGTAGAATGCAGTTCTCCCTTTATATACGTGCACATGGTTTTCTGTTCTAGCTGAGTCTGGAAGTGTCAGTTGCTGTCTCTGAGCCATTACCTAACAAGTCATAGATTAATAATGTAAATCTGATTCAAGTGACTTTGGAAGCTGTAAGAGACTCAAATGAAAACTTACTGATTCCACCCAGTGTAATAGGGGAGCTGAGTTCAGTTCTCCTTTTTTTTTATAGGCATACAGTGTATTCTGTTTTAGGTGAGTCTGGAAGTATCGGTTTCTGTCCCCGAGCCTTTATTCACAGAGTCTCAGATTAATAATGGCAAACTGATCCGAATGACCTTGGAAGCTGCTAGAAATTTTAATGAGATCTTTATGATTCCACCCAGAGTAATAGGGGAGCTGAGTTTAATTCTCCTTTTCATTCACACCTGCTGTTTTCTGTTTTAGCCGAATCTGGAGGTGGCAGTTTCTGTCCCGGAGCCTATACTCAGTGAGTCACAAATTAATAATGGCAATCTGATCCGAGTGACTATGGAAGCTGCTTATTGTGTCCCTGAATCATGGAACCCACAAGGACCACAGAACAACTATGTCACCAGCCTTCTGCTACCATCCATGGGAGAGGTGAGAAATCAACCATCCAAGGTAACCCAAAGAAGGATACTTTCTATGAATATTGAAGGTGGGGAACCAAATGAAGACTATTGCTAGAATTCACTCCACAGTTGTTTAAAGAGGACCTGTCACTTGTAAAATATATTATTGATTAATCATTATGATCTATGTTGTGAACTTCAGCTTTAATATTAGCACAGGAAAGAGAAACTGTATATAAACACAATAGTATATTTAACATTCCAAAATGGAGCAAATAAGAGAAGTTAATTGTTAGGGTTTACATACACTCTAAGTGTAGGGTTTATTGCAAGCAGAAATTATGCCTGTGGCAGGACCGATCTGTAAAAAAAAAAAATGGAGCCATCCAATGAGCATGTCCTTGGAAAATAGAAGATAAAACCTAGTTGTTCCATTTTTCCTGGTTCTAAATGTTATAAATTAGCCCCGGTATGATACATGAAGCCATTCTTATTTTTCTACTGACACAGAAGGACCTCACTTTGCTCTTCTCAAACGGAGCCCTGAAGGCCGGCGGGGAGAGTGAACCTGTCTCCAGACAGAAGAGATGGCCAATGAGCGGCATCATGGCCCCAGGAGCTCAGCATATCCCAGAAGCCTTCATTTTCGGAGGAGCGTATGAAGAGGAAGACGGAGAAATGAATCGCAAAGAGGTTAAATAGTTACATAGTTGGGTCGAAAAAAGAAATAAGCTCATCATGTTATCTAATAAAAAATAACACAATAGACTCAATTCACAAAGCTTTAATAGCCTATTGCATCAAGCTTTTCAAGGCCATTCAAGGCAAAGTAACAGGTTCACTTTAATTTTGGCCCCTGCAGCGCCCTATACTTCCCTTTTCTCCATTCACCAACACCAACTGTCTCCCCACCCCCTTGTAACAGCAGTGCCTGAGGAGGCAATCGCAGATCACCAGCACTGTCATGTGGGAGGGAGGGAAGTAGGTCATATGTTTCCCCCAAACTTGGAAGTACCAGGGTAATAGGTATAAGTTGCTATGAATCCTAAAATAAAGCAAATATTTTAAATATTTTGCATGGCCCCATAGGCAGGACCGGTGCTGCAACTAGGCAAACTAGGCAGCTGCCTAGGGCGCACTACTGCCTAGGGTGCAGCCTTGACCACTAACCCCACCCCCACCCCACGGCACCCCCATCTATTTTAAATTGCAGAATCCAACTTTCCCTCTCAGATCCGTTCCTCTACTCATTGGGTGAGGTTTCCATAGCTAGTTTGCTATTGGCTATTTCAAATTAAAATAGCTAATAGCAGTCTGGCTTTTGCTCCTGGCTGCTTGCATCAACCTGTCGCCTGCGGAAGCTAGCTGACAGGAGAATGGGGCCGCGGAGGGGGAATTGGGGGTTGCACCACGGGAGGGGGGCTGGTGGGTGCAAGTAGATGGTCTTGCCTAGGGTGCAAAATAGTCTAGCACCAGCCCTGCCCATAGGTTCACATAAAGCAAACCAGTATATAAGCAATGCCTGTGCTTCGATTAAAGTGTTTCTTGTGCACCATCCGCAGGACAAAGAGTTCCGCATGGAAGCTGAAACCCAACGTAAGAGAGTGATGTGGGACACGGAGAGGAGGTGCTACCTTGATAAGTCCGCCCTGAACAGGTATTATGTAGACTCAGCCTCCTATCATTGGCAACTATAATAGTTTTTGGGTTATTTTTAATTTATTTTTTGCCATTTATGCATTTGATAAACTAGTATTTTATATTTATATAAAAACCTTGTTTGACAACTAAACATTTAATACATTTAAACATTTCTAGCTTGCTTTTTGACTGTCTCTTTCTGATTGAGACTCTTTTGGGCCCTGTCTGAAAAGAGCAGGGAGGAGTGAAGCCCTGTTCACATTGAGCGATTTATCGCGCTGTAATTCCCGCGATATCGCGGCAAATTACCGCGCGATATCGCGCTCCAATGCATTTCAATGGGGCAAAGGGTCCTGCTGTCGCGGGTCGGGTGTCGCTACAGCAGGACCCTTTTTGGAGCGGATTTAGCCGCGATTCAAGCTTGCTCAATGCAAGCTTGAACGCAAAATCGCGCGGCAAATCTCGCGATGTCGCGCAATATGCAAATCGAGCAACAAATGCGCGATTTGCATATCGCGCAGTGGGAACGGGGCCTTAAGGTGGAGGAATCACTGCTGTGTGCAAATTTCAGTTTGAGATATTGAACTCTGTAAGCAAAGTCTGGAATGAGTGTGAAAGGGATCCAAGGGCTGGATAGGAAAAGACCAAATGCTAAAAAAAAAAAAAAAAAGATATTTACAAAAATATTGATTAGGTCAATGTGACTCCATCTTGTCACCATGCATTAGGACTCATATAGATGACAATGGTGTGTTCACAGTTTTCAGAAGAGGATAGCGGAGTGTCGTTACTGGCCGGTGGAGATCATGAGAGCACCAGTTTCAACCACCAGCAAATCTAAACCAGGCAAGACAGAAAAGGTGAGGACACTGAGCCCAATTCTAATTACATCCAATATAACATTACGGCGAGCAAGGTGCTAAAAGCCAGCTTGTTAAAACAAATGGATAGTGTAGTTCAATACACACACATGTTAAATGTATCAGAGGTCTGGACCATTCCAATAACCCATCAGATTTTTAGACCTGCACTAAAAACATGAGCAGGAAAACCTGACTGGTTGTCATGTCCAAATTAAATACTCTTGAGCAGCTTTCACAAAACCTGCAGCGGCCAAATCAGTGGAGGTCAACTTATTAGGTAAGGGGGCCTCCAATGCGATCCCAATACATAGAGCCGGTGTGGGACACTGCAGCTGCCACACACCAGCTCTATATACTGATGCTGAGCGATCAAGTGACTATCAGTCATAGCTCCCTGCAGAGATTCCCCTTTCTCTTTTGCTCCAGCACTCATTGGAGGGGCAGACAAGAGAAGGTATATCTGTAAAAAATAAATCACCCCCCCCCCCCCCCCCCCCATCTCCCATCTCTATACAAGCTTGGCTTCTCCATTTTTACATAAATGGAGAAGGAGTGGGCACAAGAGAAGGGGTGGGCACATCTGGCTCTGGCTTTAGAGAGACGAAGCCAGCTGTCAATTAGGCATCCAGGTGGGTCCCAACAATATTGTTGGGATCCTTCCCGTGTGCAGCACGGCTCTGCAATGTCAGCAGATAGCAGGCATTAGTCTGCAATATGCTGACATTGGGTCACAGGAGGACATTAGGAAGTGTACGCCTGTGACCCAAAAGAGAAGTAAAGCCAAAAAAAAAAAGGTTTGCCTTTGCTTCTCTCTTATAGCTCTCTGTATTTAGTAAAATAAAGAGTAAGACGCCTTTGTAGTGACCATTAGAGATGTTCAGACCTCGGAACTGAAGCCCAGAAGTCTCCCTCCAAAGGCCCTGGGAGGAAAATGGATCTCATAGGCAATTTCATGGTGTCCTTAAAACTAACTGATAACTAACCACCTTAAGTGGCTTAATCGATAACCATCAATTCTACAAATGACTTGTTACAAACCATGTGTGTGTGACCTGCGAGAGCTGCGAGGGACCCAGATTGACATTGCTGGAAGGATGTGTTTCCCAGCAAACATGAGCAGAAGATTTCTCTGCTTCAGTGGCATTCGGCAGCAAGGGTATGAAGACAGGTAATTATTTACATTAAGTCCAAACAAAACAAACCCTAAAATCTAACTGGGCTTAATTGTAGGATGATGAAGCCAGCTGTGGGTAAAATGCATCAGCCGAGAAGGTCCCAGGCGTGGTTTTGTGTTGCTTGTCTTGGCCCTGGGGAAGGACGAACCCTCCTTGGTGTTTGCACCTGGTTAGCCATAGAAGTGACTCACCAAAAAGTGAAAAACTTTTGCCTGTTAGGTATTTGAGTTCTGTACTCATGCCATTGGTTCATTCATCAGTCTTTCATTATCATTTCCCTTGTCCAGCAGAGTGACGAGGACCCCCAGATATCATTTCATGGTGTGGCCTACGTAAACATGGTGCCTCTGTTGTATCCAGGAGTGAAGCGTCTGCGTGGAGCCTACCGGATTCTAGCCTACCAAGATGCGGAAGTGTTGGAGAAGGTAGGAATTCAACCAATGCGTCTAACGAACATGGCAGATAATGCAGAACCACCTAAGCCCTTGGTTCTCAACTGGTGGGTCGTGACCCAAAAGTGGGTCGCGACCCCATGTTCAGTGGGTCCTCCGCATGCCTTCCACTTTCCTAAGTGAGAGGCTCCTCTGCCTTACCCTAGCGCAGCACCGTCAGTTCTTGTGCCAAGCAGTCATTCAAAATATACTGGCCAGGCCGTTCATTTGAATAGTACCCCAAACACACTTCCCACCCACAGTTCGTACGCCCGCACCGGAACGCGCAGTACCCTAATGCCGTGTGTTCCATTGCAGTGCAGACATTGCAGACTTGGGTCGCAACTTAATGACCAAGGACAAATGTGGGTCCCGAGGTTACACATGTTGAGAACCCCTGACCTAAACGATCAAGAATTAGGAATGTACCTAGGGCATTGTGGGTGTATTTGGTGAGCACTGGGTCTTGTATTAATGATGCTGCTCATAGATCCTGCAAGTGGGCTAAATGTTTAAACTGATGTGGGTGGACGGCTAGAAGACACTCTTCTTAAAGAGACCCTGTCACCAACTTAAAACATTGCTGGTAAAAGCACAGAAAAATCAAGTATTTTGAATGCTTACTTGCAGTGTTTTCCTTTCTATAAAAATATGTTTTAATTAGCTTGCATTGTGCCCTTGAACTTGCTACCAAGTTGACTTATTTGGGTAGAGTCTATTTCCTTTACACAGCTCCCTCTCTGTAGTGGCCCAGTTCCTCCACCCTTCCTCTCGCCTTCCCTTATATGTAGCTTCCTGGTAGGAGTGAAGGAGTATACTACAGAGTAGACATGTGCGATTCGTTTCGCATCGAAATTCGGACGAAATTTCGGAAATTCAGAGATTCGGATGTATCCGAATTCCGAATTAAAGATATAATGAATGCAAACGAGTCCGAATTTCCGATTCCGAAATTAGTTAGCAGTAGTCTGTACGAAATTTCGTTGCAGCAAAGTGACACTTTGCTGCAATTTTCCCTCAAATGTCACTTTGCTGCAATGAACAAACGAAACGAAATTTCGTACAGACTACCGCTAACTAATTTAGTCCGAATTCCGAAAAATCGCGAAAAATGAAATAACGCAAAATCCGAATCGAAACAAATTGTTTGCCAGTGCACATGTCTACTATAGAGCCTTGGTTCTCAACTGGGGGGTCGGTGGTGGGTCGCTGCATGCCTTCCACTTTTCTAGGTGCTATCACAGCCTGTCACAAGAACAGGAAGTGAGGCGAAATCTCCCCTCAGGTCAGAAATATTGGAGAAAAAGTTTTATTGAAAATGAATGAATAAAGCAGAGATCCAAATGAAATCATTAGAATTGCAATGCATTTATGATTTACATGGCTGAGATGCAGAGGTGAGCTAGCTGTAAGCTCTTATTCTCTCTTTGCCACAGACAAAGGTTCATTCAAGCGTCCTGCGGGATTTTCTGCGGCACAACAGCTTGATGAGTAAACTCGCAGCCGCTCCATTAGGCCCTAATTCTTCGCATGTGAAGCTGGCACCCAGCCGCATGGAGAAAAGCCTCAAGGAGAAGGACAGCAGCAGACGGGTAAGCCTTGTGAAGCCGGAAGTGTTCCCAAGTTCCCACAGACCTCAGGGATGAAGAGGTGGATATTAAAGGTGCACAGAAATGGAAATTTCAAAACCGAAATAAAAAGAATTGTCAGGCCGATATATAGAAAAAGAGATTGAGGACACAAAGTCTTTAGAGAACACAGAGTCCTCAATCTCTTTTTCTGTATCCCCTGTTATCAATGAACAGGAATCCTCTATACTGAGTGTTCCTGTTAATTCATCACATGAGGACATTGTGTGTTTACTATAACCCCAATCATGAATGAACAGGAGGGGATGTAGATCACTTCCCATTCATTCATAATTGGGGATATAGTAACCATACTCTGTCCTCAATTATCTACAAACACTCAGCGATCACTGACTGCTTGTACGCACTCTCCTCTCTGATTCGCTGTCACAGGAGGCTGAGCGAGCGGTGTAGGGAGGAGAGCTCTGCTTCCTGTGACAGCGCGGCCTGTCTCCGCCCACACACCGCTCTGCTGGACTGTGATAGGAGGCTGAGCGGTGAGGGATGAAAGACACCGGCTGCTCACAGCGCTCTCCTCCCGCAGCGCTCGGCCGGCTGTCACACTTTCTCTCCTCCCCGCTGGGACACAGAGCAGCGCCCAGTGGGGAGGAAAGAAAGCAGGGATGCGCCGATGTATCGGCAGGAAAATGGCACTTTCGGCATACAGCCAAAAGTGCAATTTTCAGCCGATATGTTTCGGCGGCCGATATATCGGTGCATCCCTACTGGATATATCATATGCATATCTGGAAGATTAATGCTTTCACCTTGTTCTGTGTGCAGATTTCTGCAGTGCTGAAACCACTAGACGTAGCGGACCTCGATCAAGCAACTGCCAATACTCTGGCTGCATCTCCCAATGTAGAGGGCCAGGTAACACACACTTTGGACTGGTGGCAATATGTGTAGTCTGAAAGGGAATGTACAGTCTTTTTTAGTAGATACACGTACTAAATAAATCAGCTGGATGTATAAAATCATATCAGCATATCATGGTTAAGAAACCTTTTATCTTTGTATAATTTGTAATTATAAATGTACATGGGGTAAGCCATATTTCCCCATCACGTACGCAGGCTCGGCTTGCTGCTATGCAGAATTGCACAGTGCTGGTGATTTGTTGATGCTTCTGCTTACTGTTCTGTTGTGAAAACAATGCACTCCCCGTGTGGCAGTTATCTCAACAGTTGTTGAAAGGGAGGCTAGGCAACTGCAACAACTCACAGTGAGCTCCATCTTGTGGCTAAGCTCCATCTTGTGGCTAAGCTCCATCTTGTGGCTAATCTGCAAATCTTAAAGCTGAACTCCAGTTATAAAATATTATGCATACTTACATTAGTCCGGCTCGGCCCAATGTAAGTACACATATGCCATACCTGATCACCTGCTGGGGATCTCGTAAAGCAAGGTGCTAGGTGTCATCCTTGACTCGGACCTCACCTTTCTTCCCCTCATCCAATTACTATCCAAAACCCTGCTGCCTTCACCTTCGTTACATCTCCAAAATACGTCCCTTCCTCAGCAATGAAACCGAAAAATTACTCATCCACTCCCTTGTTATCTCTCGTCTTGACTATTGCAACTCCCTCCTCATTGGCGGACCTCTACACAGGCTCCTCCCCTCTTCAGTCATGAATGCACCTGCTAGACTCATCCGCCTAACCAACCGCTCAGTGTCTGCAACCCCCCTCTGTCAATCCCTGCACTGGCTTTCAATAGCCCAAAGGATACAATTCAAAATATTAACAACCACTTACAAAGCCATCCACAACTCTGCCCCCCGGCTATATCTCAAACCTTGTCTCAAAGTATTACCCTAACCGTCCCCTCCGCTCTTCCAAAGACCTCCTGCTTTCCAGCTCCCTTGTCAACTCCTCCCATGCTCGCCTCCAGGACTTCTCTGGAGTCTCTCCCATCCTATGGAACTCCTTACCCCAACCTGTCCATCTATCTCCCACCTTTAACTGCCTTTAGACGTTCCCTAAAGACTCATCTCTTCAGGGAGGCCTATACCACCTCAACCTAACCACTCAATCATCACGTTCTCAAACAATTTATCCCCACACAGCTACCTCCTCATCTATCACTTCCCCCTCCCTTTTAGATTATAAGCCACCAGGGTCAGGGCCCTCTTTACCATCTTGTCTTGAATTGTATTGTGATTGTAATGTCTTCATTATATTGTAAAGGCCTGCGCAAACTGTTGATGTTATATAAATCCTGTATTATAATAATAATAATAATAATAATAATAGTAGCCAGAGCTACTACCTCTATAATAAATCACCTTCATGTGTATGGATGTTCACATTTTTGCAAATACAAGACAGCCTTCCCTTTAGGGCCCAGGGATGTCTATGCTTGTTGTCCTCCTGTGTGTTATGGACTCTGTTCTGGAGTGGCACTCATCCATGGATTCTCTTCCTTCCCTTCTCTCCAGCAATATGTGGAGTCCGGGGCTTACCTGGTGCTAGAGTTCAGTCTGGAGAAACCACTGGTGCCCAAACGCCTGGTTGAGGAGATGGAGCTGAAGTGAGTAACAAAACCGACTCTTCTATTTCCATCTTATCTAGTATATAGAGTACGGAATGATTAGAACTTTTTTTAAGTTTCCATTGCTGTCTGCATTCCCCAAACACGATATTGTCACTAGGACAGGAAATGAGAGGAAGTCTTCACACAGGACAGAGCAGCCTACAGATAGTAGCCTTCCCCAACTTTATTAAAACAGTGTAGTTTATTACTGTTGAGTTCTTGTTAAAGATATGCCTGCACCTCCTATCCCGCTGACAATGTTACCCGAACAGGGAATTAGAGGAAATCTCTCCCAAGATGTGGCCACCACAAAGTAGTAGTGTAGTCACCAGCAGGAGGAACCACACCGCCCAATGGGGGGCATGCTTTGCAACATGCTTACAACAGGGAGGTAATTATATAGCTTCTTTTTTTTACAAGGTTCTTCTGGCTGGATGGTGAAGGTTCTCATCTATCCAGGTCATGTTATAGTTAGTAGCATTTAGTCACATTCAACTAGACTTGTTCTGAAATGTTAAGGATTTTAGCCATGTAAATCAAAGGATTAGCACCTATGTTGACACCAAAGGACGGGATTATATAACTAGAACAGGGGGATTGCACAACTTGCACACCTCCCATCCAGTTCTTGAGCAATAAGCATCTATCTTGCAATATTGCATGGAGATTGGATTATGGTGCCTGTGCTAACTGTGTGAACACAAAAGAGGTGTGTAAAGCACAGCTAAACCCAAAAACAATTTTATATATTGAAGCTTAACCACTAATAGGTTACAGGAGCATCCAAGTCTACATCTTCTTACTCTCTGACCTCTAGTCAAGTGGCACCCCCTTACTCTCCAGCCTCAGGTTGAGTGGCACCCCCTTATGCTCTGACCTTTGGTCAAGTTTAGACACCCTTACTGTATGACCTATGGTCAACTAGGCATCCCCCTTACTGTCTGGCCCCTAGGTTATTGGGCACCCACTTATGCTCTCACCTCTGGTCAAGTCACGCCTTACTCTCTGACCTATTGTCAAATGACACTCTGACTTCTGGTAAAATGGCACCCCCTTTTGCTCTGACCTCTGGTCAAGTGAACACGGCCTTACTCTATGACCTATGGTCAAGTTTACACACCCTTATTGTATGACCTATGGTTAGCTAGGCACCCCCTTACTCTCTGACCCCTAGTTAAGTGGGTACCCTCTTATGCTCTCACCCCTGGTCAGGTGGCGCCCCCTTACTCTCTGACCTCTGGTCAGGTGGCACCCCCTTACTCTCTGACCTGTTTTCAAGTGACGCTCTCTGACATCTGGCAAAGTGGCACCCCATTATGCTCTGACCTCTGGTCAAGGGAACACGGCCTTACTCTATGACCTATGGCCAAGTGGGCACCAAATACTCTCTGGTCCCTATTTAATAAGGGACCTCTTCATGCTCTGACTGCTGGTAAAGTGGACACCCCCTTACTCTGTGAAAGGGGTTCTAACCTATCCCCACTCTATCCAAAACTATAACAAAAAAATGCCCATATATACACTTAGTCTGTCAATGAAATATACTAACTTCTTGCTATGGGAAACTGCACCACTTTTATGCAAGTTTCCCTCCTACATTTTTATAAATTGGTCTTTGAGCATAGAGACTTATTAGTGTATTGGGATCAGAAGACCCACCACACAGCTCAGCAGCTGCTAATTCCCTTTCACCAGTGTTTACGACCAGCGGAACTCATCTTCAGATAACAGCTGTCAATTTACAACTATATCTGTGACACGGAGCTGCAAAGTGCCTGTGAAATCTGTGATCAGCCTGACAAATGATCCTCAGCTGGAAAATAATGAGCCACCCAAGTGCCACCAGCTGAAAAGATCTGTTGTGACCTCTGACTCTTTGTAATAGTATATACAAGATGATTTCACAGTCACACTGACTTCATCTTGTCTCATCACACAGGGTGAAGGAACTCGTCCCACCTCGAGCACAGCTTAACCGGCGGATAGTCAATGCCCAGAAGGTGAGGCTTCAGTCCTGATGGACATGGCAGATGTTTATGTCATTAGATTAATCATTATTAGATTAAGGGGCTGATTTATAAATCTTCCACCCAGCAAACTCCATCAATTGATGGTAATGCTGGGTGAATGCCGAATGCCCTGCTATATGCTGGGTGGTAGATTTATAAATCAGCCCCTAAGTGAACACAGAAAACACTTTCAGTGCTTTCACTGATAAAATGCCCATTATTATAATGCTCATGAGTCAATGCCTGAAACAAAAGCTCCAGAGTGTGCATAACACTATCAAATTACAGATCCCCATACTTGCTTACATTTCTCATAAAGCCTAGTTTTGAATAGAGTGGGGAGGAGTTAACATTTCTATAGATGCCCCATTGCATTTAAAATCGCCAAGGAAAAGCAAACGTGTTTCAGGGGTTGTAAAGGTCCCCCATCTTCAGGCAGAAACGGATCAACAGACTGAAATCTGGCCCAGACAATAATATCAGAGGCATGGGTAATTTAATACTGATAGATCCGACAGGAGGCTTATATCTCTCTTCATTTCAGTTGATCCTTTTCAGCCCTGAAGACGGGAGACCTGAAAACGTGAGGGATGTAAAGAACACATAGTGTTGCCAGTTGGATTTTCCTTGGCGATTTTAAATAAAAAATACCATATGTAAAATAGCACTTCTATAAAAACAAAAAGAGAGAACCGGAGCGCCACAACCTAGCGCAATAAAGTTGGTTTTTAGAGGGGGCAACAAATAATTTTCAGATATGCACTCACATGTGACGGGGTTTATGGCAATGTGTATCCTTGCGGAGTGACATGGTGTCAGTTGGGTGATCCAGTGGCTGGGAGGGACTCGGCTGTGTCCGCCAGGTGGGGATGAGGGTTTGGGAATCTGGAATGACAGGAGAAAACGAAGCAGATGATGTGAGTAACTGACCGTGCAATAGGAGGAATAAAACAGGTACACTCACCCTCATGGTTGATGATGTTGAGATTGCGTGAGAGGTGTGCATGTTGGCTGATCCTCGGAGTTCCTGAAGGTTTTTTTCTCCTGTCATTCTGGATTCCCGAAACCCTGTCCTCCACCTGAGTCCACAGCTGAGTCCCTCCCAGCCACTGAATAACCCACCTGACACCACGTCACTCCGCAAGGCTACACATTGCTGAGCTTCCCATAAACCCCGTCACATGTGAGTGCATATCTGAAAATAATTTGTTGCCCCTCCAAAAACAAACTTTATTGCGCTAGGTTGTGGTGCTCCGGTTCTCTCTTTTTGTTTTTACGTGTTACATATAAGCAGGGCCGGATTTCCCACAAGGCCAACCAAGGCCCGGCCTCGGGGCAGCAGGAAGTAGAGGGGCAGCAGGGGTGTGGAATTCCTATCTCCCGATGCCCGTGCGGGTAGTTGTTTTCTACATTTAGCCCTTCTTTGGGCAAGCAGAACTAAATGTACAGCGGGGAAGCTACAGCTTGTTTTGTACAAGCGATTTCGGTGACATTGTATGCAGCCAGTAGATCTGCCATTCTCCGTGGGGAGGGCCTGGCCTTGGGGCAGCAGAGAGAGTAAATCCAGTCCTGCATATAAGATACCCCAGTCCGATCACACCAGGAGCTGCACAGCAACCTGAAACACACAGGTCCTTCTGAAGCGCACTCTCTATATCGGACTTTTCTTTGAACTTTCTAGAATAGCACTTCTATCCTTTATCCCATAAATACGTTTTCCTAAGAACCATCTGTGGAATGCTTGGGACAAACAGACCAATAGAGCTGCCAGTTGACTCCAGTACAAAAACTTACAACCTTTTCAATGCATATGGAGATTATTCAGCACTCCTCATCATTAATAGAAATATGAAGGTTTTTATCTCTGTCTGTGACCCAATTGGGGAGGTTGTTAAATACTTCCAGCACCTGTGATGCCTATAAAATAAAAAAATCCTACCCTTCCCCGCTCTCTGCAAAACAAAGTAGAACATTTGTGCTGGGGTTTGAATTTAATTCTGTTATGCACACTCAGGAGCCAAGAGACAGAATATGTTATCAGCATGGTTTAGGCAAGTAAAAAAAAAAAAGCACTTTCTCATTTCAACTGTGTATTTAGCTGTTTGTTTGGGGTTTAACAACCCTTTGTGCCTCTCTCAATTTATGGCAGGCAGTTGCCGATTATCACAGCCAGGTCACCAGCATAACGAAAGCCATCTTGGAGGAATATTGTGATCTGTTCGGTCAGCAAGGTCCCTGCGGGCTGGAAGTTGAGCCCCAAGTTTTAGAGGAACAGAAGTGTCAGCTCAACTATGAGTTAAACTGCTCAGGGAAATACTTTGCTTTCAAGGAACAAATGAAGGTAGGAACAGTAAAAATAACAGAAGGGACACTCATTTTTGGATCTGTATAAAGGGAGGAGCACCCCCTTCCTTATAGCCGGTGCCTCAGTACTCTTTTAAATAGCCGTCCTGATGCAAGCAGCGTGCAGGTACTTGGGAGAAGTTATACAAATAACATGCCTTGATGGGTGGATGTCTTTCTGGAGGAGTGGGCATTCCTAGGCAGGCTCCTATTCAGGCCACCTTAGGTAACACCTTTATTTGGTTCATCCCCAGTGGCGTCGCAGGGAGGGTGCAGCCCGCACCCGGGTGTCAACATTGGAGGGGTGACACCAAAATGACTGTCACCCCTCTAAAAAGTCGGGCACTCGGTCATGGACCGAGAGCCCGATAGTGTCAGTAGAGAGGAGAGGACCCAGCGGCATACCTCATCCCGCCGGGTGAACATCCCCTCCTCTCTCTTCTGGTGTCCATCACCAAGATGGCTCCGGTCGCTGCTCCAGGTGACACCCGTCCTCGGGACGCCCCTTTTCTTTTTGTTATCTTGAATGTGGTCACTTGATACCTTATCATTTTGCAATCAGTCATTCAGACTTCACATCTGACCCATCTGCATTCTTGACCACCTGGGAATGGGAACAGTCCGTGCCCCTGCATAGTTCTTGGATGTGGCTGTCGTGCTATGTATTCATATGAGGTTTGATAGGTCATCTTTTGTTCTTGGTGTGTGTGTAGCATGCAGTGGTGAAGATCGTCAGAGAGAAGTACCTGAGGACCACAGCTTTTGAGGACCGTGACCAGCTACAGGCATTCCTGAGTGAGCTGTACGTATACCTGGTGGATCAGATGCACATTTCCCTGAACAAGGTAAGGGACAGCGAGATCTGAGAAGTCTTACATATGGGAAGTAGGCAATTACATTGGATATTCCAGAAGTTTAGAAGAACATGTATTCAGTCATCAATGGGTGTGCCGCTCTTTCTTCCATTACCCAGACCCTTTTTGATGACCGAGAAGAGCCGCCCCCTGACCCTATGACAGATACAGAACAGCTGCTGCGATTTGCCAAAGAAGCGGAGATGAATGAAGATTATAACCTGGCTGAGATGTATTATAAGGAGGTGAGAAGATGCTCGGTATGGTATATTGATTTACAGCATGTTCGGCTGTTCTTTGCAAAGAAGACAAATACGTTGGCATTGGTTGCCTATGTCCACCGCTCATACAGGTCTGCGCTTTTCCGGGTCATGTGATTAAAGTATATCTAAAGCTGAGCAGGGGAGAATTCAAACTGCTGTCAAATTAGGGAGATTTCTTGTCCCTTCCTGTCTTGTAGACTCAACAGGAAGTAAGAGGATATCTTTCCAATGTGAAGGATATCCCTTTTTTGACAGTTGTCATGGGATTAGGTGTCCCCATTGGAAGATTCCCCTCTATTTCTGTTCTGGTGATAAATAAAAAAAATGTTGATTTGCCCTCTCTTTTATTTCCGGTGACATTGGTGATCAGAGAGGGAATCTCGCTAAGTGTGGCACAGACAGTAATAAAGAAACATGGCAAAGCTTCTAAAACAGGGGTGGGCAACTCTGGCCTTCCAGCTGTGCTTTAACTACAAATCCCAACATCCTTCTGCCTCTGGAAGTCATGCCTGTAACCATCAGTCTTCCAATGCCTCATGGGACTTGTAGTTCCACAACAGCGGGAGGGTTGGAATTGCCCACTCCTGTTCTAACCCCTCACCAATTCATCCAAGTCTAGAAAAAGTTTGGCTTTATATTTTGAACTGGACCTGGAGGAGAGAGGCTGCAGGGTGCGGTCTAGGAGCAGGTGAGCAGATCTGTTATTTTAGCTCCCTAGACAAAAAACAAGCACTTAACCCTTACACTTAACCCTTAACCCCCACTGCAAGGGTTAAGATTTTATTTCCTAGAGTTCTTCTTTAAAGTAAACCCGTGCTTTGCCCATATAGGGTTCCTTTAACCCCTTTTTTCATCCATCTCCTACTACTCTGTAGGGGATGGATGGAACATACCTGGTACTTCTGGGTATAGGGGGCATGTATATTATTGGAGGTATCATATGTTTTGGGATAGAGATCACATGGGGCTGAGACCAGGGTCTTCTCAGGCCTGCAGTCAGCAATAACAAATGTGGTCACTTGTGCATATTTATCTTGGAAATCCAGATGAATTTGTCTGTCAGCACATGTATTAGAGTTTAAAAAGAACATGGTACATGCCAGTGTTTAATATTACTCTCCCATTGTCTAAAATCTTCTAAATTGAAGTGGTGAGATTAGGAACAGATAGCTGAGATGCTCACAAGCAGGTTACAGAGAATGCATTTACAAACCTCTGATTCCTAATAATAGACAAGTTCCTTGTTCTTTATAATTCCTTAATAGACAAGTGATAAAATAATACCCTCATCTAACAAACGTGCTACACAGTGTTAAAGTGTAAAAGAAATGCTGCAAGTACAGAAAAATACCAGTCGAAATCCAGTGAGCTCCTATCTTCCTGTTTGAGTTGGCAACTCTGCCACTGAAATCCCAAACAGTGTTATCAGCCTTGCCCGAGTTCTTTCCTGCTGGATTACAGAGCACCTTCCCCTGTGTTATAGAAATGAGGATAGGAGAAGGTTTCCTTTCCTGTGCTATAGCAGGGGGGAACTCAGGGCTGACAACACTGCTTGGGATTTTAGTGCAACATTGTGCATACTTGACAACCATCCGGGATTTGGGCCAGTTTTGCATGTTGAACCTTAGTCCGGATGAAGTGTCCTGGGCAATGTCCCGGGATCACGGTGTCACCATCATAGTAATCTCTTCCATTAAATGTATCTTATCAACTCACAATATCATTCCACTACTGATGAAAGTTTTCCAGTATTTGGGGATCAGGGATCTATGGCTCCAGCTTGGGGCTCCATGGCTCTATCTTGGTTATCATAGATCATGCAATTTATTTGATCAGTGGGAGCTCTTAACACATTTTTGTTTTTCCTCTGTAGAGATTGGCTTGTGACCGTCAATGCGCTGATCACTGGTTGGAGTATGGAAGTTTCAGCCTCTTGGTTGGCGATCATATTAAAGCTCGGCAATGCTTCCACAATGCCTTGCTCCTTAACCGGCAATATTTACATAGGTAAGGTGACAGACGCACCAGAGCAACCACAGATTGCATTATGAGTAGATGATCCACATTTGTCTCATTTTGGCTGTTGAAGGGCCTCCATAGGTGAAATAATGATCTATACATATCGCATGTTCTCTATGTCTGCGCGGATATCAGCCTTAAGACCACCCGGCCATTGGCTTTATTGGGTTCCATCAGATTTATCTTCCAGGGATGTTTCTATTCAGCATGTTTCTACTCCATATATAGAGCTTACATAGTCACAAGGGCTCCTTGATGGCTTTGGTGCCCTTTTTTCACACACTATCTTCCTTGAGGAAACATGCTGACATATGCATGGAGCTACACACAAGATATCCTCCCCTCTGGGAAAAACCCATACAGAAAACCTATGTTCAATACACACCTCACTCCACTTTAAAAACACACAAGTTATTAAGCACATAAGTGAACACAGGCCCTTAGAATAAATCTGAATGTCTGCCTGGGGTGGGGTGCATACATTTTGGTAATACTATTTCTTCTATGTACAGTTTGCTCCTGTGCGGTATAGTAGCTGTTCTGCTGGATAACAATGAGGATGCCGAGGTGTTCTTTGAAGACGCGACTTGTGTTCACCCGAGCAGTGTCTTGGCCTGGACTATGCTAGGTATGTACACATTCTTCTCGAATAAGAACATCCCACAGACACCTTTAAGAAACCTGTGGAAAGCCTTCTCAAAGAAACGGAGGATGTTGTAGCCTCAAAGAGGGGGGCAACTCTATATTAATGCCCATGGTTTTGGAATAGGATGTCCAACAAGTTCATTGGCAGGTGATGGTCAGGTGTACTCAAACTTCTGGCCATATAGTGTGTACCATAGTATTCATAGCTGCCTAAAGGTAAATAGACCTGTTCTGTTAATCTATCCATGCAGGTTGCCATAGACATCCGTGGTGTGAGGACCTATCTAAACAATCTATTTAATTGGGAAGATACTTCCACTACATAGTTAATGGTAAACCTAAAGGAGACCATAAAATCAGAATGTAACACATGTGGCCAGCTTAAGGCCTCATTCACACGGCCGCGCATATACGCGCATATTCTACCATATGCAACATATGCAAATAAATGGCTCCATACACACAGCCGCGTATGGAGCCGTATATTTGCGCAAAAACAGAATGGAACAGAGATGCATCCGGGCATCGTATTTCTGCGTATGTACGCGTGTTTATGCGCATATACGTGTATATACACGCGTACATGCGTACAGCACATTACAAATTCCATTACGAGTGATGCATTCTGGGATTGCATATAGTGCGCGCATAAACGCTCGTATATACGCGCATATATACGCAATATACAATTTTGCTTGCGTTGTGTGTGAATGACGCTTAGTCTCTGTATATATTTACTGATACTTGCCAAAGTTATTACAAACTAATCCTATTAAGCAACCTATATTTTGACCTTTTTACTTTCTTTGTAAATAATTGTTCCAGCAGTTCACCATTTTTACAAAATTACTTTTTGGCAAAATTGTCCATCTCTCTATGTTTTGCTATGTACTTTGGATAAAAGTGGTTTTGAACAGTCAGGTGCTGGATGACTCATGAGAACCTCCTTCTCGGTGTATCAACCAGGGCTGTTCTATGAGGTCCAGGGAAATGACATCCAGATGGAGATGGCCTTCTCAGAGGCTGGAAAGCTGCACCAGGCTGAGCTGGCTTTGGAAAGATCAGTGGCTCAGGCTCAGTCCAGAGTACCGGACAGTGAAAGGACTGCAGCTGCAGAGGCCAGTGATAAAGGTAAGATACTTCTCTCCCTTCACAGGTACCAGGCCGGTTGGCCCCCTTACATGGAGTTACCTCTTCCTGAGTATTTCTTCCTCCATACCGAGTGTTTCCTGAATAGTGATTTCTTCATGTTCTATTGATGGGTCTTTTTATAATCTAACTTGGAGCATTTGTAAATGACAAAAGAAATCTCCCTTTTTAATATGAGAAAATAAAAACTGAAATGCTTTTATTCATGTTTTGGTCCCTAATACTTGAAGATCATAAATGTTCCCCTTTTGGTCTTCCTTATTGGTCTTCCAATCTTGGTCTGCATAGGATACCGCTCCCCAGGTCTAATTTTCTATTCCATGGTAAAACTTGGGACACTTATTGAACTGGTGCCGAAATATCCCGGAGAGCTTAGAGAGGTCTGGCAATCCCTGATATTTTGTTTGGAAAGCTAACTATGTATCATCTGTGCAGGGTTGACAACATGCAGAATATATAGACAAGAAATGCATTAAAAGGGAACTATGGGGTAACCTTTTTATCCCATAGTTCTCTTTAGGGTCACAGGAGGACATATACTAACCTCCTCCCGTGACCCAAAACTCAGTATATATCGGGCTATTGCCCGCAATATACTGAGAGCGCCGCAGCCGGGACAGATACCGACAATACTGCTGAGATCCACCCAGCTGGCTGATTGACAGCGGGCTCTTCCTTTTTAGAGGCAGAGCCAGCTATGCCCGCCCCCTCCCCTCCCCTCCAGTCAGCACTGGAGGATTGGAGGGGGAATCCCTGTGGGGAGCGGTGACTGACAGTCACTGCTCTCTGCAGGGAGATGATAGGAAAGTGAGCGAGCGACGGTATGTGTTCGCTCACTTCCGGATCAATAGAGCCGACGTGTGACAGTTTCATTGTGCCAAGTCGGCTCTAACTATGAGGATGAGTGGAACCATCATAGTTCTCCTTTAAATAAGTGCAAAAGTCTAAACTCAAAATTGGTCTATTAGTATGTAAAATCTACAAATTACTTCTTCAGGACTTGTGAATATTGAAAGGATCTAGAAACAGGATTCAAACCAAGAAAAAGAAAGCTGGAGATGTGGACTTGACTTCTTACTCCATTCCAGATCACATCCACGCCCAAAGACAATAAAATGACATATGGGTCAGAGAATAGAACTATATAGCACAGCAGGGACCAGAAACCCAATATTCTTAAAAGGTCTTTTCCGTTCTTCTCTGGCAGCATCAGTGGGAGGTCCTTACTGCGGCTTAGAATGGCGCTCATTTTTATTATAGTAATATATATTGATCTTTGTTAAAAGCCGATGGCCGAGTATAAACAGGCGGTTACAGACATTGTCCGTGTTCTGTAGAATGTAAAATAAAAACATTTATTTCTGTCATTGAAAGATGGAGGAAACAGGGCTTGTGTCTCTACCAACCAATCACCTTTCACCCTTCAACCCACAATGAAAAAGAAGCAAGATTATTACTATAGTGCCACTTTTCCTTTCAGAACCATCTCCTCTCTGTAATAACTATTTTTTTCTTACTTTTTGGGTGACAGGGGCAGGCTCCAAAGTAGCAGCTGAAGTAACGGACGGGGATGTGCCGACGTCCCCCAGAGTCCAGTCGGAATCAGGAGGTCTGTCACAAGCCAGCCGTCCCCAGGAGGAGAAGACGTCATACACCGCTCCAAAATCCCCTTCATCCACCATCTCCAAAAGCAAAGCTGGAACTCAGAGAGGTGAGGGGATCTATAGAACCCAAACCTACAGTCCCAACTATGTCAATCCAATACAGTGTGGTGACTTGATGCCCAACCAAATATAGTGTGGTGACCTAATGTCCAACCAAATATAGTGTGGTGACTTAATATCCAACCAAATGCAGTGTGGTGACCTAATGTCCAACCAAGTATAGTGTGGTGACTTAATATCTAACCAAATAAAGTGTGGTGACTTAATATCTAACCAAATAAAGTGTGGTGACTTAATATCTAACCAAATAAAGTGTGGTGACTTAATGCCCAACCAAATACAGCGTGGTGACCTAATGTCCAACCAAATATAGAGTGGTGACTTAATATCCAACCAAATACAGTGTGGTGACTTAATGCCCAACCAAATACAGCGTGGTGACCTAATGTCCAACCAAATATAGTGTGGTGACTTAATATCCAACCAAATACAGCGTGGTGACCTAATGTCAAACCAAGTATAGTATGGTGACATAATACTCAACCAATATAGTGTGGTGACCTAATGTCCAACCAATACAGTGTGGTGACTTAATATCCAACCAATACAGTGTGGTGACTTAATATCCAACCAATACAGTGTGGTGACTTAATGTTCAACCAAATTCAGTGTGGTGACCTAATGACCAACCAAATACAGTGTGGTGACCTACTGCTCAACCAATATAGTGTGGTGACTTAATATCCAACCAATGTAGTGTGGTGACTTAATGTCCAACCAAATACAGTGTGATGACTTAATATCCAATCAATACAGTGTGGTGACTGAATGTCCAACCAAATACAGTGTGGTGACTGAATGTCCAACCAAATACAGTGTGGTGACTGAATGCCCAACCAAATACAGTGTGGTGACTGAATACCCAACCAAATACAGTGTGGTGACTTAATGTCCAGCCAATATAGTGTGGTGACTTAATATCCAACCAATACAGTGTGGTGACTTAATATCCAACCAATACAGTGTGGTGACTTAATGTCCAACCAATATAGTGTGGTGACTTAATGCCCAGCCAATATAGTGTGGTGACTTAATATCCAACCAATACAGTGTGGTGACTTCATATCCAACCAATACAGTGTGGTGACTTCATATCCAACCAATACAGTGTGGTGACTTCATATTCAACCAATACAGTGTGGTGACTTAAAGGAGAACTACGAGATGAGTGATTTTCACTCACCTCATAGTTCTAAGCCGACCTGTGACAATGAGACTGTCACAGGTTGGCTCAGTAGATCGGGAGGTGAGGGAACACATACCGGGTTCCCTCACCTCTCGATCCTGTCACAGCTCTCTGCCGTGACAGGGGAGGGGCTGGATTCCCCTCTCCCCGCTCCGATCTGCCAGCGCTGACTGGCGGAACGGACGGGGGAGGGGGCAGGTACAGCTGGCTCTGCCTCTGGATAGGCAGAGCCAGCTGTCACTCACGCAGCTGGGCGGATCCCGTCATCTACGTCGGGATCCGCTCCAGGTGCGGCGTCTCAGTATACCGCGAGCTGTAGCTCCCTATATACTGAGCTTAGGGTAACGGGAGGACGCTAGTTTGTGTCCTCCCGTTACCCTAAGGAGAACTATGGGGGAAAACACTGACCCTATAGTTCTCCTTTAATATCCAACCAATGTAGTGTGACTTAATGCTCAACCAATATAGTGTGGTGACTTAATATCCAACCAGATACAGTGTGGTGACTTAATATCCAACCAATACAGTGTGGTGACTTAGTGTACAACCAAACATGGTAAACACACGTAAACGTTTTGCACATAAGTGATTGATTAACGTTGCTAACACGATGCACAACACCTTTTCTGAACACTACCCTGTTAACATAAAGCTTTACTGAGTCACGTAGAACAGCTTACCTTTGCTGACCCCCCTTGTACAAATGCTAGTCACCTGGCTGTCACTGGTCTCCATACGCTCTTGGTTGCTGACCCTGACAAAATTAGGAGGAATGGAAGTCAAAGCAAAAGCATGACAGAAGGAGGGGTCAGCAATGGCACCTTGAAGCCCATCTTTGGGTTCCGTCCACTCTACACCTGCCCGCCCGCCCCCTCCCAAGCCCTTTAAAACTTACCTAAAGCCACAGTCCTGTAATCCTAATATTTGCCCGGAGATGAACTTTATATATTTCTCTCAGTTCAGGTTTTCAGACCGTTAGGATTGTACTGAACATGCCTGGAAATAACTGCTTATTAGGTGTATAAGCTAACATTCTTCTATAACATGTTTCTTTTCCAGGAGCTCGGCCCAGTATAAGCCACGACCCTCCGGCCGCTATCAGCAGCATCTACATGGAGACGGCTCTATTCTTGGCCCAAGTCAATGCCACACAGGTGGGACGCTGACACTACTGCTCTAAAAATAGCTGTTTTTTTAATAGCTTAAAAGGAGAACTATGGGGTTAAGGCTTTTCCCCATAGTTCTCCTTAGGGTAATGGGAGGACACAAACTAGCGTCCTCCCGTCACCCTAGGCTCCCGTCACTACTTAGACGCCGCAAAATACCGCGATCTGCTGCTCGCGGTATACTGAGACGCCGCAGCTGAAGCGAATCCCGACAATTGTGCCAGGATCCGCCCATCTGCGTGACTGACAGCTGGCTCTGCCTATCTAGAGATAGAGCCAGCTGTACCCTCCCCTGTCCGTCCCGCCAGTCAGCGCTGGCAGATCGGAGCGGGGAGGGGGGAATCCAGCCCCTCCCCTGTCACGGCAGAGAGCCGTGACAGGATCGAGAGGTGAGCGAATGGTATGGGTTCGCTCACCTCCCAATCTACTGAGCCGACCTGTGACAGTTTAATTGTCACAGGTCGGCTAGAACTATGAGGTGAGTGAAAAGCACTTACCTCATAGTTCTCCTTTAACTCCAGATAGATATAAAAGACACAAATAATGCAACTCTATTATTACATCATTAATGTTTTTGTTTTAATAGAAGCAGTGTAAGTACCTGAATAGGACCTGGTGCAACAAAACTCAGACTGGAAAGGGATGGGCAGCACAAGGAGTCAATCAGCTGTACTGCTGTGCTCATGTGCTAACCATGGACATGCCGATAGGAGGAGAGAGCAGAGTGACAGTGAGGCGAGCTAATCATTCTGCTGCTTTTCTTTTCACTGTTTAATAACACTGTAGCTTCTTGTATCTCTCAGGCATGAGATTCCTTCTTCTCATTCACCAGTTCTTCTCAAATTCCACAATTAAATGGCCAAATAGTGATGCCCCTTGGTGCTCCATTATACACAGAACATATTAACTAGGGATGCGCCGATATATCGGCTGAAAATGGCACTTTTGGCTAAATGCCGAAAGTGCCATTTTCCTGCCGATACATCGGCGCATCCCGGCTTTCTTTCCCCCCCCCGCTGGGCGCTGCTCTGTGTCCCAGTGGGGAGGAGAGAAACCATCACAGGCGGCCGAGTGCTGCGGGAGGAGAGCGCTGCGAGTGGCCGGTGTCTCTACTCCACGCACCGCTCAGCCCCCTATCACAGATCAGGAGAGCGGTGTGTGGGCGGAGACAGTCAGCGCTGTCCTCCTGTGACTGCTGTCAGGATGGAGAGCGGTACAAGCAGTGATCGTTGAGTGTTTGCACATAATTGAGGACAGAGTATGGTTACTATATCCCCAATTATGAATGAATGGGAAGTGATCTACATCACCTTCTGTTCATTCATGATTGTGGATCTACATCACTTCCTGTCCATTCATGATTGTGGTTATAGTAAACATACTCTGTCCTCATGTGATGAATGATCAGTAACACTCAGTATAGAGGATTCCTGTTCATTGATAACTGGGGCTGCAGAAAAAGAGATTGAGGACTCTGTGTTCTCTGAGGACTCTGTGTTCTCAATCTCTTTTTCTATTTGAAAAGGGAAATATCAGGGGTCTGTTTAGATCCCCAATATTTCCCTGAAACCCCTAAAAGTAAAGTAAAAAATAAAAATGTTTAATAAAAATGAATAAATAAAAATAAAATCTAAAAAAAAAATAGAAGTTTATAAAAAAATTTATAAAATATTTTTTAAAATTTGAAAAAATTTAAATAAAAAACATTTCAGGTTTGGCCTGACATTTTTTTTACTTTGATTTCGTTTCGGTTTTGAAATGTCCATTTCGGTGCACCTCTAATAACACAATGTAGAAAATAATTGGAGGCAATGAGAGTATGTCACCTCTATCCAGGCCTTTAAAGACAACTGAAAATGACACACATTACTGGGAGCAGATCTCATCATGGCCGACAAGAGAGATAACAAACCAGTGAATGATTCAACCCACCAGTGTCCCCCCATAACTGGAATATTGGTTTTCAGTGAATCTTTTTAAAAAACATTAGAAACATTCACACATTCTTACAAGATTCTAAGTTTTTGGTTCTTTAGTTTGTCCAGAGAGCCCTGGCACACGAGCTCCTGAGCCCGGACGGAGGGCCCAGCTGTAGGTACTACCTGATGTACGTGCAGATGAACCTTCTGCGAAAGGAGTTTGATGCGGCCAATGAGAATCTGCAGGAGGCGTCGCAGATTGACCACCAGGTATGTCCTGTTCAGTGCATTCTATGGCGTTACCTGGGTGAAGCCTACCTGGGGCGTGACTACAGATCATGGGGCTCCATAGCAAAATTTTAATTGGGCCCCTTGGCAAACCCTTAAAATCTAAATCAAGGACAGGTAGCAGGAGAGTTGTCTGCATAGTCTCTTGCTGTACATCTGATATCCACTCTTCTTGATTGGAAATGCCATAAGGGGTACAGGGTGAACATCAACTTCAGCAATCCTTCATGGGGCCCCCTTCCAACCTCGGGCCCCCTTCCAACCTCAGGCCCCATAGCAGCCGCATGGGCCGCTATGGCTATTGTTATGCTCCTGCCGAGATGTGAGGACCCGCAGGTAGTGACAACGATGGACCGCTGAGCGGTACTGGGGGCTGTCTGTGTAATCCCCGACTAATATTATGCTCCTTCCCCCAGAACCCGGACGTGTGGGCGCTCACAGGACACCTGCGTTATCTGAACGGCCGGAAAGGGGAGGCGCGGGAATTTTACGAACACACGCTCAGTTTGGTGTCTGATCCCTCAGACATACACCCTGTCTACCTCCGTCTGGGGTCCATCTACCTCCAGGAAGGAGAGGTAAGTCCACATGTAATGAGGTTTTATGTGAACCAATCACATTCTGTTCTCTATACTGTCAGGGTGCAAATCATAATTCTAGGGAACCGCCCAGCATGTCTGTGTTTCTATTGCAGTATGAGAAGGCCAAGAAGACCTACCTCCTGGCTTGTAAGAAGTCACCTACCTGCCTGGCCTGGCTGGGCGCTGGAATCGCATGTTACCGGGTAATGTTCTGTCTTATATAATTCACAACATCAACAGTCACAGGTCATTGAAGTAATACATGCAAACACTTTGTCATGAGTTAATAGTGGCAATAGTAGCTGGTCTGAAAATCCAAGCTTGGCCTGTTGGGTGGCGGTTATCTCCCCGACTGGGTTATGACAATAGTGAAGACACAGTGGGAACCTTAAGCCATACCCCATTCCTCTAAAACCCAAAAGTTCCTAACTATGATAGATCCTGCCAGGGAGCTTTGTGTGTCCCAGCACAGCATGTGTACAGACTCGGGAACTCAGCTAAGGGATGGTGGGAGCCCCTCATAATGGGCACATCAGGTGTACAGACCCAAGAACTTGGCTCAAGGATGGTGGCAAACATATCGGCCGAAAATTGCACTTTTGGCATAATGCCGAAAAGTGCCATTTTCTGGCCGATACAGCGGTGCATGCGTATATATTCTCTCCTCCCCGCTGGGCGCTGCTCTGTGTCCCAGCGGTGAGGAGAGAAACTGACAGCCGGCCGAGCGCTGCGGGAGGAGAGCGATGTGAGCGACTGGTGTCTCTCCTCCCACACCACTTTAGCCTCCTATCACAGTACGGCAGAGCGGTGTGTGGGCGGAGACAGCCAGCGCTGTCACAGGAGGCTGAGCTCTCCTCCCTACACCGCTCGCTCAGCCTCCTGTGACAGCGAATCAGAATGAATGAGAGTGAGTACAAGCAGTCAGTGATCGCTGAGTGTTTGTACATAATTGAGGACAGAGTATGGTTACTATATCCTCAATTATGAATGAATGGGACATCATCTACATCCCCTCTACAGCCCCTCCTGTCCATCTATGATTGTGGTTATAGTAAACACACTCTGTCCTCATGTTATGAATGATCAGGAATATTCAGTATAGAGGATCCCTGGTCATTGATAACAGGGGACACAGAAAAAGAGATTGAGGACTCAGTGACTTTAGTGTCCTAAATCTCTTTTTCTATTTTAAAAAGGGAAATATCAGGGGTCTGTTTAGACCCCCAATATTTCCCCCGAAGCCCCTTAAAGTATATCATAAAA